TTTTATCATTTTTCTTCCAAGTGCTTTTAGTAATTTGAGATCGTTTGATAACTGATTTAGTTCTGATCCGGGTAGTTTTGTATAAAACAGTGCCACCATCGTCGATTTTTTTCGTTAAATGCGAATACAGAAAATATCCTGATTATATTCTGGCCCTATCCCTTATTATTTTTATTTACAAGCGATCTTAAGTTTATAACATATACATATATTTTATTTAATTGTTAACATTAGGGTAGTTTTACCAATTGTGTATGTGTGGAATTCCACTGATATGTGTTTTAAGTTGTTTGTTAAATTTTTAAAATTTTTTGATTGTATTTTGCTCTCCTAACTTTGTAGTGTCCTGAAGATGCAAATAAATTTTGCGAAACGTCGACAAATTTAAAACAAAGGACTTCAACCTATACCAAAATATCGATACTGCCTCAGTATCGCACAGCTCTATGAAGAATTTTGTGGGTTCGCCAAAGGCTCCACTGAAAATGGATAGCCGCGAGACAACGCCGTTCGACTGGGCAGGAACTCTGCTCGAGGCTATAATATGACGAATTCCGCTTGAGGTTGACTCGTTTCGTCCTCGTCTCGGCATATTAGTACGCCTTTTGGAAATAATTTGCTATAGCCTCGTTTCATACTCGTTTCGGGTTTGTCTCGTACTTGCCTCGGCATATTTATACGCGGCTTAAGAGACCTTAATAATCGTATGGAACATTATTATAAGATTGCACGCGAAAAAACTCAAAGACAAAAGGAAAAGTCTAAAGTTCGATTCGATCTAAAAGTATCAGCTGTAAAACCTGAATATAAAATTGGTGACAAAGTAAAAGAATCTCAAACAAAAAGTAAATCAGAAAATAAATTTAGTGGTCCCTTTGAAATAACTGAAGTTTTTGAAAACTCTGCTATAGTTTTAAACCCACATACTAAACAAAATTCAAAAATAAATTTCGACAGATTAAAACCGTATTTTGAATAAGAATTATTTCTTACAGCTTCTTAGGCCGTTCACAATAGGCTTAGTTTAGTTATAGGAAATTTATAATAATTATAGGAAATTAATAATAATTAATTATAGGAAAATAATAATAATTAATTATAGGAAATTAGTAATAATTAATAAAAAAAATAATTATAGGTAAAACTTAATTATAAGGAAGACATATAAAACATTACTAAAGAACTAAATTTCAGTCACAACTTTTAATAGAGATTTAATTGAAATTAATCAATCAATTACAAACATTGCCGATGATCTCGCATTTTATCAAGCACAAATTAAAACTCTAGAAATATGTGAGTTTCTAATGGGAAGTTATGCTTTTGTAGAAAACTATCTAAACAATGTTTTAAACGCTGTTGCTTTTGCTAGATTAAATATACTTCATAGCTAAATAATAACATCTAAATATTTAATATCTGCTTTACAACAAGCCTCACAATCACTAAGAAAAATTATTTCGTAGAACATTCTTCTTCCAATTTATTCTTCAAACGTCTCTCAGTACATTGACGTAATTGAATTACATGCTTTTCAGACAGACTTCAGAATAGTATTTGTTTTGAAAGTACCTTTAATAAAACCAGAATCTTATACTGTATATCGTTTATATCCAATTCCTATATTAGATAATCGAACAAAGGTTTTTCATATAATACCAACAATAAAAGCATACATTGCGCGAAATGATGATTCAATGTTATACATTACCCTTCAAGACCTGAAGACTTATAAATCTCTTACCAGTAACCATATTCCAGAAAAGTTTCATCTACCTGATCTGAAACCTTTAAACTTAAGCAAGATTGATTTAGATGACCTGAACATTGCCCAACACAAACTAGGTCAATATTCTGATGAACTGGACAAGATGATCATCATGACAAACCCTTCATTGAGAAACATCTACCATGAAAAAGACTTCTCTTCCTTACCATAGGACAGTCCAATGAAGTTCCGCCATCTCCACCTAAGCCAGAACATCAAAAATCAACCCGAAGAAGATTGGTCAGTTTCTTGCTTAGACAAAGAACCGCTATCCATCCACACGATATCCAGAATCCCGAAGAAGAGTTCGAGCTATATGAAGACCTCTAAAACGTTAATACAGAGCATTAACTTTTCTCTTAAAGGGGGAGCTGTTATATTGGTCCACCCAGTACGTTCACCCGGCAGGCCACATCCTATTGCGACACGTCCGGCGCGCGTTGCGAAATCGCGAACGTATCATAATAATATTCTATTGTTCTCACGATTATTGTCAATCTAATCATTATTTTTATTATAAACCCCAATTATTTTTGTAAATCAACAAGAATAGTTTTAGTTGCTAAACGAGACTATGTCCGTTTGAATTTTTATAATTAAATTAAAATAAATTAATAAATAGAATAAAATATAAAATATTATAAATGTGTTTAAAGAAAATATTTTTTTTAAGTGAATCTCATTATTTGTGATCTAACATATACAGGGTCCGGCAATAGTGCGTCGGGCATCTGTAGCTCCTAGAATTAAAAACTTGAGAATTTTGTTTAAGTGCAAACCTAAAGTATGTACCAAGATGTATTTCAGGAAAATATTTTAACTTTTATAGGGTAGCTCAAAAAAGTGTGAGTGGACCTGGATGACTTTTTTTAAATGGAACACCCTGTATATAATTGCATTTTTGGCTTCCTTTCAGATCACTTTACATAACTCCAAGATATGAATAAATATATTTCGATAGTTTCAGAGATATTAAAAAATAAATAAAAAATATGTATTTTTCAGCCCTTCTTAAAAAAATTATTAAAAATAGAAGAACTGTTCTGAAATCAAAACTATATTAGGTATTTACTTTAGATAGTCTGTTCTTACATTGTTATAAATATAGTAATCGTATATCATACAGGATGTTCAATATTCTACGCCAAACTTTCTAAAATATAAAATAATTTTTCTTTGTTATTTTAAATGGAACACCCTGTATATTATTTTTTTATTAGATGGATAGTTAAAAAATAAACATTTTTTGTATTTAGAGTATTTCAAAATTTTGAACGGTTTCGTAGATACGCGCAGTATTATTTCATATGGCGCTTTCAATGGTAAAATACGAGAGAAAAATCATTGGGTGGCTTTGATAAAAATTTACTGTGGAAAATGCCATATGAAATATAAAACCGCAAATATCTGCAAAACCGTTAAAAATTTTGAAATACTTTAAATACAAAAAATGTTCATTTTTTAAGTCTCCGTCTATTGAAAAAATAATATACAAAGTGTTCCAGTTAAAAAAACGAGGAAAAATTATTTTATATTTTAGAAAGTTTGGCGCAGAATTTTGAACATTCTGTATAATTTACGATTTTCATATTTATAGCAAAGTAAATACAGACCATCTAAAGTAAATACCTAATATAGTTTTGATTTCAGGACAGTTCTTGTATTTTTAATAATTTTTTTAAGAAGGGCTGAAAAATACATATTTTTTATTTATTTTTTAATATCTCTGAAACTATCAAAATATATTTATTCATATCTTAGGGTTATGTAAAGTGATCTGAAAGGAAGCCAAAAATGCAATAATATACAGGATATTCCATTTAAAAAAAATCATCAAGGTCCACTCATACTTATTTGAGCCACCCTATAGAAGTTAAAATATTTTCTTGAAATACATCCTGGCACATACTTTAGGTTCGCACTTAAACAAGATTCTCAAGTTTTTTATTCTAGGAGCTACAGATGCCCGACGCACTATTGCCGGACCCTGTATATACTATTAGTATGTTGCTGTCTCTTTTTCCTATATTATCTCACCGTAACATAGTTTTATTTAATTTAACACAGCTATAATATAAATTATAGTTTTTCTGTTGTCATATGAGAAAAAAAGGTTTTAGATACTTTCACACCCTTTTATAGCTTTTTGTATCCGTAAATTCTTTTATATTTTTTAATTTACCTCTTACCTTTCTCTTATTTTTATCTTATTTCTTTTTTTTTATATTTTATTTTCATATGACAAGGTACATTTATGAACATTTTTAAATTATTAATATAGAGGAAACACGTTCATTACACATTTGGTACTTTCTTGAATAAGTCAACGGGCTGCCGATAACAATTCGCCAAGGAAAATCAAAATATGATGTAATAAATTAAAAATTACGCCTTCCGACCTGTATCCCTTCTTTCTTCCGTACTTTGTTTATTTGATTCAATCTTTCACGTTCAGTCCCACCATTCCCTACCTATTTTGTTCGCGGTCTCAATCTCGCTTTTATTTTTAGTTTAGTTCAATTGATCGAATCTTTTCGATCCAACTGATTGAATCATTTAGTTCACATATGAGATTCGATCTTTTGAACTAGTTAGATCATGAACTACACACCTCTACAGAGAAGCGGGGCACGGGGGTGCGATGTGCGATTTTTACCTCTCGCGGTCGAAGGCCAAGATTACGGGGGTGTTTTCTGGCAACTTTAAGAGAGTACACACGCTGCGGGCTACGAATCTATTATCATGAGCCATCTGTAGCAGCCAAGTTAGTTTGTTTATTTGTTTAGTAAATAAATATTTTTCAATAACGAGTTCGAGTTATATCCCAGATCCCAGCCAGTACACAGAGATTTGCCAGTTCTGATTAGCACGCCTGTGAAATTTAAAATGCACCAGGAAGTAAAATAATAGTTAAACTCAATTTAATTATAAAAACATATATATGTGGGTGCTTGTTGTATTAATAGTGTCAAGACTTAAATATAGGCCAACCTGGGTTTACATCAAATTGGGAAAAACCATGTAAAATATAATTCTAGTAAACGAATTTGATGTAGATTCAGGGGAATCGTTCACGTATACGTTGACCTAGATATGTTCTTATAATAAATATTGTTAATTAAAAACAATTAAAATCAGGTCGATGTAAGCGTGATGTTTCAAGGCTAACTCGTACTAAACATCGGTGCTGGAAATATACAAAGGAGATTTTTGAGCACGTACCCGCCGATAATTGGGACGAGCGGACAAATATAAAATGGTGTGCTGAAGACAGGGAGGAGTTAGTTAGTTAATTAGTCCGTCGACGTGAGTCGCATTGTTAGTAGTTGGCCAGTCAGAACCAGTTGAAGCATGTTACTGTAAGTACCTTTTTTTGAGTGTACAATACATTGAGTTTTGGCATTTCCCAAAATTGTTATACACTGTAAACGTTATATTAAATAAATGCATATTTTATGTAATGGTTGTTTTGATTGAGAGAGAGAACCTGGTATAGCGACCCTAGCAAACAATCCCTAGCTAGGTCGCGACATGTGGTGCAGGCGCCGGTCTCTCTCTTAATTAAAACAGCCTTTTTTATATGCAAATTTTAATTAATTTCTCTAGTTTTTTTTCAACACCGCGACATGTGGTGGAGGCGCCGGTCTCGTTTTTAGTCAAAGCAGCCTTTTTGAATGCAAATTTTCGAATATAATTTGTTTAGTTTTTTTCACCACAATGACATGTGGACTTTTTTTTATTAAATCAGCCGATTTTTAATGCACTTTACAGGTAATCCCCCTTACCGCCGCAATATGTAGTGGAGGCAAAGTTCATTTATTTTTTTTTAATTCAAATATTTTTTTTTCAACACTTCCCCACAATCAAGACATGTGGTGGAAATGCCGTTTTTATCTGCTGCAAGACAGCCTTTTCACAGTAAATTTTTTTAATTAATTATTTTTATCTTCGCCACCAAAAAAGCTATCCAATAAAACTTTTACAATTGTTTATTGCTTTTCGTCTGCTAATTTTATCACTGTTCCATTCTAAGCTCAAAACAATCGATCTACTTGTGTTTTGGCTCGGATCCACATAGCCAAGGCCTTCTCGATAAACAAAACACCGCTCACTTTTGTCTATAATTTAGAACACAATAGAAAACAAATACGTAACTTGTTCATTCAGAACGGTCTGAGATATTTTTAACTATTCTAGGATCTGTTGTTTGTTAAGTGTTCCAACACACACGTCGATATTTTTTCTATTAAAAATCTTTTATTCTTCTTCTTGCATGTCTTCATGTCCAATTACCATTAAAAATCGGGTTCTTCTTACAGAAAGCACGACTAGCGCGTATTCGCATAGCCAAAGCTTCTTCAGGAGCAGCTTTCGTTAGGAAAAAGAAAGCAGCTCAAGAGTCTGGTATCGAGCTAGATGACAGCTACAGGGAAGAATGCAGCACTAGGGCAAGAATGCAGCACAGGGCAAGAATGCAGCAACTTCGAATTGCAGCACCATCATTTACTGCGCTGCCTGAAAAAGACTACAGACCGAGAATTTGTCGAGCTCGAGGTATGTATTCGAAATGAGGTCAATATAATCATCCTAGATGATCAAAACGAAATTTCAGGTACCTTACAATGGACATCCGAAGAGGCCAGGGTCACCATCACCTCTGGCCAGTCCAGCTCACTCTGCGGTGTCCATTGGACTCCTCCAGTCATGTTGCTGCAGGTCCTGTCCTAGAAGGTGTCAACAAACGTGCGGGAAGTACATGCCAGCGGCTTCGACAGCCCAAGCCAATCAAACCGGTAGCGGTATGGACGGAACCTACATTGTAGAAGCGTCTTTCTAGACATATCACCAACTTTACTTGCCTTCAAATACCTTAGACATATTCTAAGCAACATAAAGCTGTACAAGATGTCCCACTTTGATTGAAACCATACGACATCTCCGTTATTAGTAAAGATATATAGGATGCGGTTTGCACAAACCTGTCACATTTTTTTGTCAAACGGAAGACGCTGTTAACAAAATTGTTATAGCTCTCTTCGTTTTTGAGTTACAGGGTCTCTTTTTGAAAATTTTGCAATTTTGGATAGCCCCCGTATCTTCGTTATTGTGAAAGGTAACTTTATAGTATGAATATTTTATTTTATAGTTCTTATTATCACATAATAATATAATACCCTATATATTATTTGAATATTATTTATTATGTTTATTTATAAAGTCAAGTGCTGGAAAATGCTGACGACTCTAGTTTTTATCCTTACCTACACATCGTCATATTTTATTTTGAAATACGAGTACAATACTCATCTACATTTATTTATTATTAACGTTTAAATTTCATTCAAATGCCAATAGCTTTGTCTATATTTAAATATTTCTTGATATATTTCAATGTCATAAACTCTCTAAATAATTATTTTTAAACAAGCTAAACTTTTTATTTTAAAATTTTGCATGATGGAATTTCAAAGACTTCCAGTTCTCCCTAAATTTGTTGAACCCCCTACATTTGACCCTAGATACGATTGCCCAGTGTCTTTTATTTCTAACTACGATAAAATTACTGATAGAAATGGTTGGGATTGTGCATATAAAGTTCAATATTTGCAATGTTATCTGAAACATGCATCTGTCTTTTGGTTTCAAAAATACTCGAAAAATAAAGATAATCTTAAGAAAACTTGGCCGGATCTGAAAAGAGATTTTATTTTAAATTTTGGCGGTGATATAGCAATAAGAAAACTAAAATCCAGATTACGCTCACGTAAGCAGGATGCAAACGAAGATATTAAACACTATTATTTTGAATTACTGTCAATGTTTCAGGAAATTTATGATGAAGTTAATTTTTATCAGTTCAGAGATTATTTTGAAAATGGTTTGCATCCATCTTATGACAAATATATGTTGTCAAGCCGTGATATGGATTTTACCGCGCTAAAAAATATTGTGTATAAATTGAGTGATCTAAAAGACAGAATTTTAAATTATAACACGTTGGCACGTTCGTCCCATTTTTGCAAAAGTAGTACAAATTTAGATAATTCAGTTAATAAAAACAATTATAAATATAACTACGTACATCGTTCAGACGATTTAAGTAAAAATAAAATACAGTTCCGGCAAAGGAATTCGTATAAAAGTCATAGGGTAGAAAATTTCGAAAATTTTAATGGCAGAACAAAATCTGAAAATAACAAAATACATTATGACAGGGTTTATAGGTATGACAACCAGGCTGAAGCAACCGAAACTGATTATAGGCATTATACAGACGAATGTAGTTTTAATTTAAACTATAATGGGGAAAGACAAGAGAAGTTGATTGAGGACAATCAGACCAAGATATTTGAACAAAACCCAGCCCATTTTGATAAACTACCAGACAATATGGATGGTATATTTATTGTGTCGGAGGAGCATGCAGTATAGGCATGCACAAATAATGTTGTGAGTTATTTCAAAGAGGACGATTTAGATTCCATCAATTTAGAAAGTGCACGAGTAGAGGAAGATTGTGATGCCCTCCCCGTGGCAATGGGATACGCACAGGCAGAGGAAGTGAATGATACCCTCCCTGTAGCAATAGAGTTCGCACAGGTAGAGCAATATGATGCCCTCACTGTTGGAAATGAAGTTATGCCGGCTGAGGATGAGTGGAATACCCTCCCTGGCAATGTCGAGGGAGTTGAAAAAGAAAAATAGAATCCTTCCATTTTCGAAGAAGAGAAATGCAACTCCTCAAGTGTACCAATGTTTTGTCTTAACAATGTGGATATACCTAAGGAAAAATTAAATCTTAACTATCTTTTAATTTTTACCACTTGCCTTTATACATTTTTGTTCATACTGTTCTACTTTTTTTAAAATATTTCCGTCGCTGTCCAATATTTCATGAACTCCTTTACACCACATGATTTGTGACACTATTAGAATAATTTGGTTTGCATGACACACAACCCACTCAGTTCTTGACTTTTGAATGTAATGGTTTAAGGCAACCTGGAAATAATAATATACAAAGTCTATAAAACACTAAGAAATCTGTCAAAGTAAAATTTACTAGTTAAACTAATACTAAATTATTTTCAAAAAGTTAATAAATATAGATGTATAGTATATACCGAGTGCGTCTCAAAAGTAGCTCACCCCCATAACATTTTTATTTTTTTAGTCAAAAAATGAAATTTGATATGTTAGTATATGCCATAAATTCGGATTGATTGGCGTGTTCCGCACTTCCTCTGTTTCACCGTACCATCGGTATTTTTTTACTTTATTCGATAGAAAATATATAACACCCTGAATAGAATGACATACCATATAGCACCGTCACGTTTGAACCCGCTTTAAAGTAAACTTTTAATTTTTTGGCTTATTTATTAACTACAAACGATGCAATTGATTGTAGTAAATTAATTTTTTAATATTTTACTTAGATAATAATTCCAACACACTTTCATTGATTTTTTCTCCTGCTACATAAAACTACAAACAATTTCGAGGTTCTTTAGTCATTTATCATACAATAACTTCCCTCTTAATTAGATTGCGCTCAATTGCTTACTTTTTCTGTCTAATTATTAGGACTACAAAAAATTATAATTACTACAATCATATTAGTATTTTAATAAACAGGCGTTTAGTTGTATCAAAATTTAACGAGAGTAACTTTTTCTCTACATAATGTACATATGTTTCAGCTCGTTATGTCTGTTGCCTGTTTTAATAGTTTTGTTTTTAAAACTAACCGTTTGACTACATTGTAAAGATATATACATTTGCTATGGTCACCGTTTAATGGTGGTGGGTTTAAGGAGTTTACAATAGGGGTAATAAAAAATGTGTTTAGAAATCCTTGTTGTGCGTTTACATTATTGTTGTTTTTAGCTGATTTTAATATTTTTAACTGTTCAAGGTAATTTAAGCATCTGCCTTTTGTTTCTCTATGTAATAATTTAATTGAATTTTCATTAGTTGTGTGACTAATATTCAATGGGATGCTAGACCGGAACTTTGATGGAGATGATTAATAGATATTATTTATGTTTTTTTAATCCGAATATCTAAATTTCTACTATGTAACTACTTTATTACATTGCAATATCCCTTTAACTTCTACGCCTACCGAGCTCCCGCGACTTCATGCAAACTGTGCAAAGGCGACCAGAAATTTCTCCTAAGCTCCGCCCTAATACTATAACGTTTTTAGTTCATTACATGTATTTTTTATACCGTGCTTTTATTTTAACACAGTTCAATGCTATTTTGCTAAGTATCTTCATTTTTAAAGTGGAACTGTCAATGACATTGGATTTGAGTGAATAGTATGCAACGAATACTCACACAGCAAATAATATTTTTTGTTTTAAAATATTTTTTTTTGTTTAAGTAAAAATAGTTCTAGCTCAAAAAAATTGCCAAAAATCCTAAATTTCGACGAAAAAAAATATTTGGAATTTTATTTTATGTCTATTAATATTTCGGCGAAAAAACAGTATTGCCTGTCGGTATTTCATCAATGGACGGGGAATTTCATCATCGGATAACAGGTTTCTTGTGGACTGACAACAGGGGAGTGATTTACAAATTACAATGATTGACGCCTATGTTCATCGTTAAAATAAAAGCACTGTATATGATTTATATGATGTCTGGCGTATCGTCATCCGATTCCGTATCGTTCAGGCCTGATAATTTATTTGGCATGCTTGGCGTAATTTTTACGTCCCTAGTCGCCAACCCTGTTATCGTTTCACTGCTCTGTGGAGGCGCTGTCAACATCGCTCCAAGGTTAGGTCGCTCTCCGCGCTTAACCTCACTTTTGTTCACCCGACTTTTAGAAATGGTAATAATTTAAATCTTGCTGCAAAATCTGAATCATCTGCCATTTCGAAGCTACAGGTAAAGATAAGTTATTACCTTTTATAGATTCGATATTATTATTGAATATTTTTAGGGTATAGTTTTGGATTGACCCACCTTAACTCGTATTTGTATTTTGCTGACACGTTGGTGTACTTTTGCTGTTGTCCTCCGGAATGTTAAATGGAAGAAAGGACAGTTCTTTTGTTTATTATTGAGCCCTCGGAAGTGTTTCGAGGTAGGTTTATTTTGTTTATTAGACCTTGTTTGGTTTTTTAAACAAGAGTTTCGTATTTTTAGGGTCTTATAGACGGACTGTGTCCAAGGTATGGGTAGTGTTCCCCTGTACCGTTATCTTATGGACGGACTGTGTCCAAGGTACGGGTAGTGTTCCCCTGTACCGTTATCTTATGGACGGACTGTGTCCAAGGTACGGGTAGTGTTCCCCTGTACCGTTATCTTATGGACGGTCTGAGTCCAAGATATGGGCAGGTGTCCCATATCTACGTATTGATTCCAAGGTTTGGGCATTATCCAAGGTCCTAGTAGTGTTCCAAGGTACGGGTAGTGTCTCCATATTGCCACAGTATAGATGTAGCGTAAGCTCCATGCTGCTTCGTTCCCATTTCTCAGTCTAGTCAATAGTTACGGCTGTATCAATTCATGGTGTCCTTATTCTGGGCCCCTTTTGTTGTATTGGATGGCCGAGTACAGAGATGCGAGACCACCTCACGCTGCTACTGTTTGAAGCAAGATTACATAAAGAACAACTAAGTGTAGATTTACGTTCTAGTTTCTATGTTTTAGATTTTCTATATTTTCAGTCTTAAACAATAACGTACATCTTAAGTAATATCGTACAGACTCTGTTTAGTGGTTAGATTGTTAAGAACATATTTAATACCGTATGATCGAGAAAAAACGGCGTCAAAGGCGGCTGGGGAATGACTATCGATGCTACTATTTTTGACGAGGTCGAACTCTGCTCAAAGTTAATTAACTTTATTTTAATTTTTTTAGTTAATTAAAATTCTTCTTCTTTTCACTTTAAAGATCTTCAAAAAAATTAAATTTTAATTAAAATTAATACTAAATGTAGAAAATCTAGAAGATAATAGTAAATTTCCGGATACAGAAATCTATATCCAAAAAATATTTTTTTCTGATAATTTGAACTATATCAGTTCTAATTAATAAAAAATCTATATTAGGTAAATCCAGTAAATCGTAATTAAT